GGGTGGGTAGCTGACAGCCTCCGCCTTGGCTTCCTCAGGGCCCACCCCAGCTTCCTAGCTGAGCCCATGCCCTCAGGCAGGGAGGGTTGGCGGCCCACGGTTTACTAAGCTGTGGAAGTTGAGGGCACATTTTTCTCAGGGTGGCCTCTTACGGAAGACCCAGCAAGGCAGGGAGTGGTCAAGGACCCAGCTGCTCCGGTCCAACCCAGGGCTCCTCCGCGGGATCTTCCCCCCAGTTCCCCGTGGCACCGGCAGACTTGTAGCTCAGGACCACAGTCTGATCAGCCTCCCTTTTCCTTTGAAAGGTGTCACACCCCAACAAAACCTTTGACAACCCTGTGTCTCCTTCCTGGGGAGACTAAGCGGGCCTAGAAATACAGGAACTTTTCTTTTCAATGTTAAAATAAAGGCTCTGAGCCAGGGAGTAGCTTCTATTAAGGTACAGGAAAGAGTGAGGCTGAAGGTTTTGAGTGAGGGGAACAGGGCAGGTCTCGGAGGCCTGCGGCCACAGCGGAGTGAGGATCCTACTCCCTGCAACACCCAGTCTTTGGGGGTTTGGCGCCGGACAGTGCTATGAATTGTTCTTAAAGCTTGTTCTGTGCGGTGGATTGAGTGGTTGGAGATGCACACTGGAGGTAAGGGGCCAGTTGGGAGGCTTTCGTAACAGTCTGGTCAGGAGATAATAGCTCCCGAAGGCAGCAGCGGGGCTGGCAGGCGAGATTGGATGTGGGAACTGTTTTGGCAATGTGCTTGCATGACCTGCTTATGGTTTAGACAAGGCGTGATAGAGAGGCCACAGGATGGGCCTAGATGTTGGGCCTGAGCCACTTGTGAATGGGAATGCCATTAAGTGAGAAGGCAATGGCGCGGGAGAAGTAGGCTTTGGAGATATTCAAGGGAGAGCACGTCTAACTGCAGGTTCCGAGTAGACAGCTGATATGCTCATCTGCGCCCAGGGAGGAAGTCGGAGAGGAGACTCGGGAGTTCCCAGGATACATCGTATTTATTTACGGCCACAGGACTTGATGCAGTCACCAGGGGAGCATGTGGCTTTTAAAGGCTAAGAACCAAGCCAAGTGACATCCTTCTCCTCTAAAAAACCTGTATCTTCCTCTACTACAGACCAAAACCCACACTTTAAGAATGACACCCCGGGCCCTCGGCACTCTTGCTCCAGGTGACCGTTCCCGTCTCGTGTCCCAGTTTTACTAGAGACTCTTTTAGCCACGTGGCTTCCTCTAAGCACTTTGCCTCTGGGCCTTGCTCATGTCGTTCCCACCTGGAATGCTGCTCCTCTGCCAACTGCCCTGTGCTTGGTGAAATCCTCCTCATCGTGAAATCAGAGCTCAGGTCCACCGCAGCCAAAGCCTCCCCGATCCACCTCGTCAGAGCGGTGACATCTTCCTGAGGACTGTATCACTCACCTGCAGTCACTTACCCAGTGAGCCTGGAGGTGGGCCGCCCAGGGCGGGTGCAGTGACCAGATGTTCTCAAGGGACCAGGCTCCTTTCTCTTCTGCCTTCCACACCCCATGGCTCCCATCCTTATTGGTGCTGCAAAGGTTGCAAGAGTCCCGTTCCTCCTCCGGCTTCCCGTCCACTGGGGGGAAGAGAGGGAGCCGCAGAGGGATGGCAGTGGGGGCGAGGGCTCTGGGTTTTGGGTGCATTGCCAGCCTGAACCAACTTCAGGTGTTCTGTTGGTAAAGTGAACACGTGTCGGGTGGGGTCCCAGCAGGGTTTGCCCTGAATGTTCTTCCTTTTCCTCTGCCCTGACACTGACGTTTCACCAGACAGCTCACTGTCTGTGTGTCTTTCTACTAGGTTTGAGGCTCCTTACTAATCTCATTCACATTTTGTGATCTTAGCACTCCCTCAGCCAAACCTTGGACACGAGAAGTATTTAATAAATGGCTTTTTTTCACTGCTGAACAAATGACTACAGATGGCTCTGGTCTTTGTTCTGTAAATAGAAGTGGGCCTGTGTGGAAAGCAATTCAAAGCAGCTCACTGAAAGAAACTATAGTACAGAAACTGAATAGCTTATTACAGGAAAATTAGACATCAAGAATCAGGTCCATGTTTCATCTGAAGTAAACCTCCCCCCCAATAAATATCTTAATATCTGCCAAAGTAAATGATTCTGCTGTGCTCATTTCATGATAGAATCTCAGCAATATAAATACTTTTTCATGTCTCTTTAATGTACTGAAAACACATTCAGACCCAATAAAGCCAACCCTGAGCTTCCCGTCTTCCCAGCTTCCCCCTCCTCCCCGAGCTGGGCAGTGCTGATGGGGAGTGAAATGGAGACACAGAAACACCCCCTTTTATTTCCTTGTCACTGTGACTCTCCAAACACACAGATGCATCCGCACACGGGCAATGGTTTCAATCAACATTCTTCAGAAACAGGAGGGCAGAAATCAGACCAAAGTTGAGGCCACTTCCAATGGACAGACCCCATGGACATCTGCTGCTCTCCCAACTTTTAGAAAAACTAAAGTGGAAATCATTTAGGCCTGGGGCTTCTCTCTATGACTACCCAGCATTTATAGTCTCGGGGTATGAGGGAGGGTGGTCGAGTCTACCCTCACTGAGTTTTTAAGTACGATGTCACCGTTCACGGTAGCTAGCCCCCCCAGAGAATACAGCAGCAAAGGGAACGGCGCCCTGTGGTCCAGGAACGAGTCTAGATGCTTGTTTCCCTCCATCTCACCCATGCCTGCATCTCTCCACATCACATCACCTGAACATCAGTCGGTGCCTTATTCGTACCTATTCAAAAGTCCATGGGGGCACTATTTAGAGTTGTTTTTCCATGTGTCCTTTTAGATGGCACCATCCGCCGTATCTGAGATGTTCTAGCTCCTCTCTGTTGAGTCCCACCTCCCACAGGCACCTTCTGGTCGTCACTGCTGTTCTGTCTGCACCCAGCAAAGCACTCAACAGTTCTGCACAAGACCAGCTCATGACTCAAAAATGCATGTGCTAACGAAAAGAAAGAACGTTCAAATATTTACTTTCCAACTGTTTTATTCAAAGCACATTTAAAAACCTAATATATTTTTCCTTTAAAAATATTTTTTCTTTAAAAATAGTTTTATAGTTAGTTTTGATGTTGCGTATCTTACCTTCCACACATATGACCTGAATGGTAAGTTAACGTTTTCTGATTGCCACATACATTCTAGTCTTTTCTAGGCAGCGATAACATTTCATGGTCAAAAGCCAATACCACTTTTCTAAAATTAAGAAGAAAAATCCGTGTTCCCAATGTAGTAGACAATTGCTTTGAAAGGTAAAAAGTCCTTTGCTTGATTTCTGGTGGTGTGAAAAGAAGTGTTTTGTTTTCTTGAGAGAACGGGAGGAGCCTTAATTCTTTAGGTTTGCTTTTTTTTGTCTCAAAGACATGTCTAAAATGGGTATCTGATGTTTTACGGTATAAACCTCATGATGATTTGGCCTGTGCAGTCCAACTTTATGTGATATTTTCATACCAGAAAAGATGACAACAGGCAGCTGTCTTGTCTGTAATCCAAGGATCTCAGCGTCACCATCCTAGGTCCTTCTAATGAAGACGACCAGACATTTTATTTCACCAACAAATCAAGTACATGGCATGGGAGGGAGTGGGGAGAGAGGGCCACGGGCATACGACATAAAAATAAATACTTTACACACGTCTTCCCAGGTCTAAAGTGTTCCACATTCTAACTGAAGATTAGAAGGTAATTAATTACCTAACTCAATTATTTATAAAAAATATAAAAACACACAAACCAAATGATGCAAAAAAAAATCTTTTTAATCTAAAAATTCATTTCCCCCAGGGCTAATTTATAGCCAAGCCCTGCCAATTTTTATCAGTTTATTAGACTAACAAGAGCTATTCAGCGTTTCCATCAAAGTAAGATAATATATAATAGATTTCGATAAACCTTTCTCAATGAGGCCATGATACTGCAGGCAGTTCAAGGAAAAATAGCTATAACTTTTCTTTGGTGTAACCAAAAGGATATCCAAAAGTTAGCAAATGTTGGTATTTCAAGAGATAAGAAATCGCCAAATGGAAGTTTCAACTCTGGTAAAAACACGGTGCGAGGGAAGCCCCCGCCCCCCCTCCCCCCAGGTTCTGTAGTGCAAGTTTTCAAATTTCACTCTGAAAAGTCGCTGTGTTTCATAAGCAGGTAACAAACTGCAGCAGTACACTCGCGCTCTGCCTCCTTTCTCACTCTCTGCCTGTGCACACCCTCGTTTCGTTCTCGAAGGTTTTCATTAAAAAACCCACCCTCGTGTCTGAAGCTCGGGCTGAAAGTTGTCTGCGGCTGCACAGCAGCAGGCTCCACGTTACGTTGCCACTTCCACGCTGGTCATTTTTACAAAAAAGAAACAAAGCCTTTTTTCCCCAGAAAAAAGTACCTGAACCAGTTAGTCACTTAGCCCTTTCCCAACCTGTTGGGTTAACCACGAAAGCACACCTGTGCGCATCCCCCTGTGCTCTGTGCACTCAGAACCAGCAAATCTACCACCTCTTTCTTAGAAGCAACGGCCCCCCGCCTCTGGCCCCCCGCCTCTGGAATGCTCTCACGCCCATGAACACGCTTTGAAAGCAATCGCCACCCGGTCCAGAAGCCTCCATTACTCTACCTGGCTTAACTCTGTCTTCTTTCTTATATTACTGTACATGTTGTCTGTGTGTGTGTGTGTGTGTGTGTGTATTTTTTACATAAAAAGTGTTCAAAATGCACACATACACCCTATTCACACAGCCCCAGCATTTAGCAAAAAAAAAAAAATCTTCCCCAGGAAGCACTTTCAGAAGTTAAGCTTCTACTTGCTTTTAAGCCACAGAGCGAGCGCCCAGTGAGTCCAAGGACCCTCACCCACGGCAGGCGTGCCAGTGCCGGGGTCCACGGGCAGGCAGAGCAGGGGACCCCTCAGGCTTCCTAGAGCCACGTGCTGTGCATCCCCCCACTCCACCCGGGAGACCCGTCCTTGCCCCTAACTCTCCCCCCGCAGAGGACCTCCGCACTGCTCCGACAGAGCCCTGCCCTCCCCACGGGCGGCCCCACCCGCGGGGCCACAGAGCCGGCTGTCCTCGTCCATGTGAGCCCCCCCCAGGCCATCCAGGGAACAGCCCCGCGCCGCGTCCAGGGCACGGCGAGCCCGGCTGTCCACGGGCTCCACGGCTTCCCCTTCGCCTTCCGAGATGACGGTCATGGGGCTGCTCTGGATCCGGTTCCGCACGCTGTACCTGCTGCTGGCCGCGGACGGTGGTGTTCGGCTGCGGCCGACCCGGGGGCCCGAGAAGGACAGGCTCCGAGGCATCAAGCCTTCGTTCTTGGCCCACTCCTCCTGGGCCCGCCGGTTCTTGCTTGGGGAGCAGCTGGACGGGCTGTCGGGAGTGTCTGGCGAAGGCTCTGACCTTGACCTCTGGAACCGAGGGTCTGTGTTCTTGAGCATCTCAGCTGCGGACATTCGGGCACTGGTGTCCGACCGACTCCCCTTTTTCAGCAGCAGGGCTTTGAAGTTGTCACTGCTGGTGCTGCTCTTGCGGACGCTTCTCTGAATGGATCCCACCTGCTTTGGGGAGGCCAGGCTGGGGGCAGCGCCGGTGGGTGTCACTGGCGGGGAGGGAGAATGGTTTCGGGTGTGATCGTCCTCTGAGTCTTTGCGGCCAAGGACTTTCCTCTTGGATCTGAGATTTAATAACATTAAGATAAAAGGTAATTCTTAATGGGCCACTGGATGTCCGCCACAACCACCCTGCTTATCTTATCACATATTCAGGTCACCATCTATTATTTTTACAATGTAAACCTCCAAACACCCGTGAAAAATAGTTCATTGTATTACCGTGTGTGCCCGTGGCCCCGCTATAATTACCCACTTATGGCCCCTCTTCTTTGAACTCCACCCTTACAGGAGTATTTTAAAACAAATCTCAGATATCATATTAACTTACTTTGGGTAGGACCATTTCTCAAGTTTTTTAAAACTGCCGTTTTTTATTTAGTTCTCCTATACTGGACTGATCCTGAGTGGATTTCACAGTCCTGGCCATCTCTTCTCTCTCCTTGTCCTTGTTCTGTTTGGTGCTGGCACTGAACAGGCCTAACAGATAAGCCAACTCCCAGAATGGCCCCTCTCCCGAGACAGGCCCCCACCCAGGCTTTAGAACTATTCTACAAGAACTATTCCCTGGCTCTTACTGGGCCACATGTCAACTCCTAGGGGTCCAATGGTCCAGAAAACAAAAGCGAACCTTCTACTCCAGGTCCTGTTTCCTGGCTGATGTTGGAGAACCTCTAGCTGGTGAAGCAAAGGTGAGGGACAGGGGAGAGCAGGAAAGAGGAGGGGCTTTCAGGGAAAGGGGAATGTTTCCCGGGGGCATTTCTTGTCCTCGTCTCTAAGAGCCTCCCCGTTCAATGTGTTTTCTGCTGAGAGTGAATCAGAGATAATAAAGCAGATGAGTCAAGTGGCCCCCTGCTGGTCTTGAAATAACAACTCGAACCCCTTAGCTAAGTGCAGGTGGACTTGCTAAGGAACTCGGTGTATCTGATAAAACAGAGATGTGGGGTATTTCTTTTTCTGCTATGAAATTCTAGAACATGCAGCAGGGACAGGTTGAGGATGCTATCATACACACAGATTGAGTTCAGTCTGAGCACTGCCAACTTTTAGTGCGACGTTGGACCTGTTACTCTGCACCTCAGTTTCGGACCTCAATACTGCATTTCCGTTTTCACACTTATAAGATGGAGATGACGATATCCACCTCACAGGTCTGTGCGGATTCCATGTGATAAAGAACCCCTAAAGTCATTGGACCTGGGCTCGACCCCAGTGCTAAAGTGACCTTGCTCGGGCATCTCAGGCAACTTAAAGTTTCTGATCCTGTTTCCTACATGGGGAATAAAAGCAGATCCACATGATTATCAATCAAGATGAATGCAAGGACAGCCATGACATGGCAGGACACAGTAGGTGCTTAATAAACCTTTGAGTGTCATTTAGGAAAATATAATTTTCCCTTCCTGCACTAGGCCAGGCTTCAGGGCTTTGTTTACAGGGCCCACATGGCACGACCTAGGGAGGGTGGGCCAGGGTGGCTGTCCGGGGCTGGTGCGCTCGGGGTCCTCGCCATGCTTCTGTCCAAAAAGAAGCCACCAAAGTGGAAGACAGGAAGTAGTGAGGCAGAATTTGAAGGCTGAAAGCTGGCCAGACCTGCCGTGGCACCGGCCCCTTTGGGAAGGCAGAGCCTGGCCTATGAGATCTTGGTTCAGTGGTCCCGCTCAGCTGTCAGTAAAAGTATGCTCGACAGTAAGTTAATGTGCGACCAACAGAAACCACAGAAATAATAACATCTCAGAACTGTAGAGCTGGAAAAGACTAGATGGTCTGGTCTGAGCAGAGAAGGTAACTGAGGGCCTGATGGAGTATTTTTCCATTTATAGCACAGGGCCTGACCATCCAGGTTGCTCCCCCCAAAGCAGCTCTGCTCATCCCATTGTTGCAGGTGCTGGTTCGTGATACAATCTTTTTGTTTGGATTTTTCAATGAAGAGGGTGTGTGTGCTGAGTGTCACACAACAAGCCACAACTATTCTTGATTAGAGCTATAACTTTTCATTGTAGATTCAGAACTAAGAGAAGAGATGAAAATTTATAGAAGCATTGTTATTTTTCAAGAGCAGCTGCCCCCTAAAATGAGAATTAAATCTAAACATTTGAATTCTCTGCATGTATGTGTGTACACACATACCCCCACACACACACACATATCATGTGTGTATTTTTAAAGAAGATGGCTGTAAAAGGTGCTTAAACAGTTAACTCCGGCTTGAAAACTAATTACTTCAATGAATATAAAAATTTCACACCTCAACTGGTGTTCTCCATTTTCCATCTGGCTTTAAATCTGAAGTGAATTAATTTGCATTCTAAAACCTGAAAGCTGTGTTTCAATTTAGATGTTCTTTATTTCAAATTATTAGCTTAGTTACTGAAGGGGATATAAAATAAAGCCCTAAAATTCACAAACTTTTAGGTGGATTTTTATTATGTCCGCTAATATACTATCAATGCTAAAATAAAAACTAGCATGTGTCTTTGCTCTCTCTTTACAATCCTACCCTACTGGGCCTTTACGGCTACACTGCGTACACAGAGCAACACAGACAGGCCGAATTCTGCATCTGCTGCAGACATAATTATAATTATGCTCTAGACAGAATTATCTAGTGGGAGAAACCACAAAATTTTTCAGGGTCTTAAGAAGGCTGCTAAAATAAAATATGGAAGAGACCTTTGGCATATTTTGAAGAAAAGCATGTAGTAATTTGGGTCCACAGCAGTTGGGCTCCTCACTGAGACCAAGTATTTAATACACAGAACAACCAGATAATACTTCTGTTATAAATACATATATGCCTGCACATGTAGCAACCAGTGCATTCCACACTAAATGAAAGACATCGAGTCTTGGAACAATTTCCAAACAGTTGCATAGCGATTGGTTTCATTTAATTCAGAAAATATTTATTGCGTGCTTATCATGGTTAGAGTTAGAAACAGCTGTGTAAACCTCTAGCACAGCCACTCAAGTTGATTTCAAAGAATGCAGCATTGTTCATTTCCATTTTGAGAAATAATTTGATAACCAGCTATCTTTTTATTCCTAATGAGATCAAAGGGAACAGTTGGACGGCATTAAAGGGGCAGTCTGTGGGGTCTTTTGGGATATTATACCCATACTAGAGCCAAGAGATAAAACATACAGTCCTTCACAAACACCTTAATTCGCCAGCTTGTTTGGTTCCTCCCAAGCTAGATGCTTAGATGTTGCCCGAGGCACCTCAGGTAGAGACAGTGCTATGTTTTTCATCTCATGCAACAGTTTTGGTGTACACCAAGAACTGGGAAGTTATACATAAGGTTATTCACACAATGAAATGACTTTACAGGGGTTTTTTGTTTCAGGAGGAGATAAGGGACCTTAGGTCAGGGCAATGCAAGGCGTTGGAGGCACGAGGGCATGTGTAAGAGTCATCTGGAAGTACTGTGGTGGAGAAGTCTAGAGGGAACGAAGGTCTTATAGATCAAGTGCCTGCGCATATACAATCTTCCCGATTTTTACAATGTCACTACTGTGAGACTACTTGGTTATTTACAACCAGAAAAATAAGGCAATAAATAAAGCTTTAGTGTTAAATCCTACTTACTCAAAGTAACCACATGTAAAAAGGATAATAGTGCTGGCAGTTATTTTTTTTAAATTTACTGTTTATCTTTTTAAACCCAATCATTTCTGATGCCAGTAGATGGCACCAGCAGCCTACAGTAACAAGACTTCATTCCTTTCACTCCTGCCTAAATAAGATGTACTCTCATTGAAATGTTAAGTAGCCAAAGGAACTGCACTATAAAATCCTGGTTTTTCTATAAAATGAAAATACAATAATAAAATAACAATAATAATAGCACCCCTAGGAAAGGCCCTGTCCTTGGTGTAGCTTAAATCCACAGAAGAGAGCGTTCCTCACCCTGGACTGGACCATGGCTGCTCTAATCCAATTCTTAAATTAAACACCCTGTTATAGGACGGACACTCCCATTTCTGGCCAGAGGCATCATACCGGGCTCCGACCCCACATAATCAAGAGTAGTGGAACAGAGTAAGACAGAAACTGGAGTCGGAGAAAATAAAAATACAGAAACATACTGGCACAGATCAATCATCAGGTTAATGAACCCTAACTGAGTGACAGAAGAAACCTCAAGAAAAACAAATTGGGGGACCGTTAGGTAAGGGGATGCATACAGGAGATGAAAACATGGGGAGTCTGGGATACCTGTGAATGGCTGCAAAAAGGTCTTCTGTGGTCCGGGGCCTGCTGGGGGTCATCCCCTCATCACCCCCTTCGTCCTTCGGGAAGTCGAAAGCCTCTGAGGAAGACGCGGCTGCGTGGGGCTCCGGCAGCCCGGCTATGGAGGAGCGAGCAGACACCAGATGCAGGAGTGAGTTGGATTTCAGTCTCTAGCCAAGCTCCCAAGTCCACTTCCCCGCCATTCCTGACAAGGTGGGAGCCACAGGGCCAGCCAGTGGGGTCTGTAACCTGATAGCTCACAAAGCTGGGGGAGCATGGCCCACACTCTCTTCTGCTCAAGTCTAGAACTCCTGATGAAGCTCCTCAGTTCCTGTAACGTTTCCCTGCAGTTCTCCAGAAGGGAGATTCCTCGTTGCTATTTAATACCCAGACTGCTGCAAACCACCCCCACCCCAGCCCTCTGCTTTCTGCCCCTCTGCAAGCCCTACCCTTAGATCTAGATTTTTTTCTTATTTCATAAAATGTCAAGTGGGTAGTCTCCGTGGGAGACAGCGCAGGGAACCCAGACTGTGGCTCTAAAGGGACCGTGCACCAGCCCTATTGCCTTGGCTGCACATGGTCGGTGGGGACAAGAGAGGGAAGCAGACTCACGCCCTGGGTCCTGCAGAGACAGACAGCTCTCCTCCACATCGCCCCCATGGTCTGCACTGTCCTCGGCGCCTGGCTCCTCCCGCTCCGCGGCTGGTGAGGCGCTGGGCTGCACCATGGGGGCATTGGCTTCCACTCTGCCTGGGGACGTGGATCCGGCGGCTCCTCCCTCAAGAACTGAGCGGCTGGAGTCGGTTTCATCAGAACCAGCCCCGGCTGCACAACTCTCCTTGGCCTCTCCCCGTGTGGGGCTGGGCACCGCTTGGCTCACGTTCTCTGCTGGCTCCACTGTGAAATCTCCCTGCGGAGGTGGCACCACTAGGAACAGTTTGGGCTTCTTGGAAATGGGGGGCGGCTTTTTGCTGAGCCAAGGTCCGGGGGCCTTCTGGAGCGGGGCCGTCCCGGGGCCCGGCCCAGCCTCTGTCTCCCCAGCGCGGCCAGGGCTGCGGCTCGGGCGGCCACGCTCGGCTGCACCGTCCTGGTGACCCTGACTCATGATCTTGGCAGGAGTCGGAAGCGAGCTCGTCACAGAGGCAGGCTGGCTTTCACTCTCCATTTCATTTATGCTATTTCGGGATTTCAGGAAAGCAGATGGCTTTAAATGATACTGGGGCACAATCGGAGTTTGTTTTTCCTGAGATGCTTGTTCATGTAACAGTGCTCCCTCGGTTCCTGAGTTCTTCTTCACCGGCCTCAGCTGCACCATCTGCAGTGCTTCCGTGGTTATCAGGGGCATGGGGGGCCTGCCGCCCTCCTCCTTGGTGACAGGCTGTCTAAAGGCCTCCAGGGAGGAGTCGGGCTCGTTAGACCTTTTGAAAGGCCTGGCATCTTTCAACAATTTGGGGTCAAGGGGTGGGGCAGGAGGGGGAATGGAGGAGGTTAAAGATGGTGGAGGGGGTAGCGTGGGGGCAGAGGAATCCAGAAGGGGGCTGTGCGCGGCGGGGGGAGGAGGGAAGTATGCATCAGAAGGACAGAAGGGACTAAGCACCTCTGGTGGTGGAGGGGGGAAGAGGGGAGACTGAGGCAGAGGAGAGCCCCTGGGGGAATCTGCTAAGGGTGGGGGAGGAGGAGGCAAAGGAGACTTGTCAGCAGGACATGGAGACGGAAGGGCTGGGAGAGGAGGGACAGGGACAGGGGCTGGCACTGGGTCTGGCTTCCTCACGGTTCCACCGCCTTCTGTGGACGTGTTAGAAGAAAGGGACGTGGACGAGGACGAGATGGACACGGAAGACACCAGAGAGGACTTCCTTTCCGGCACCTTGGGCTTAGTCTTCCCCTTCCCATTGGCTGGTGACACTGATTTTAAAAACACAGGCACGGGCGTGAGTGCTGTGGGCGTATTCGACTGGCTGGAATACCCACTGGACGGAGAAGTGACTCTGTGTGACTTCTCCGGTGATGTGATCTTTGGTTTGACTGAGCCACCGGGCACCTGGGGCACGGCAGCCCTGGACCCCTCCTGAACGTGGCGGACTGGCCCGTTTCCAGCTGGAACCCCGCTGCTGGCCGAACAGCCCCCACTGGGGTTCCCAGGGTCCTCCTGCAGGCCAGTGTAGTCAATGTAGTAACCCCAAGGGTCCGTGTACTCGGACTTGACACTGCTGGTGTCACTCTGCGATGGGGTGACGCCGCACAGGGAGTAGACGTTGGGCGTGGTGGCCGAGGTCATGCTGCTGCCCGCACTCACTGTGCTCTGGCTGCGGGAGCGGGGCAGCCAGGGCTCCTCCAGGTCGCTGCAGGGGCTCTGGGACGGCGACAGGCCGCCCTTGCCCGGCAGGCTCAGCTGCAGCGAGTGCTGGAGGGAGGCGATCAGGCTCTCGTTTAGCACCTGCCCATTGGTCTGGGCATTCTTCTTGGGGATCCTGCGTAGAGAGTCTGTCCGAGAGGGTGGCAGAGGAGGCTTCTTTGCTTTCTTCAAAGAGATGTTTCGAGAAAGGGACTTGTCATGGAAATTTGACCGGTCCCCTTGGTTCTTCTGAGTTCTTCCATCAAAAACATTGACCACGCTGTGTCTGGGGTTCCCAAAGCCATTGCTGCTATTGCACAGATTCCCAGACCCGTGTCCAGCATCGGGGTGCAGAGACGTGTAGTGGCCATCGTGGTCCTCTGAATACAGGGACCTGGCGTCGTCTCTGTTGGACGTCTGGTCCAAACTGCAACTGCTCAAGTTACTTACAGGAGTGGAGGACCCAGGAGTGGCCAAGTGCGGCTTCAGCGGGGACGCCCGCCCACTCCCTGAGCCACTGTACTCCCAGGGCTCCGCGCATCCACGCCCCCGGCCTCCTGAATAACTGGACTCACTCTTGCTGTCCACATCCTGGGGCTGGGCTGGGAAGCTCAGGTTCTTCCTACAGCAATGGGCCATGGCTTGGGCCCCATTCTCCTGGTTTGCTGCGGTGTGGAGAGAGACTGCCGAATCACACAGGGACAAGAGTGTGGCTGCTCTGGGGCAGTGGGGACCCACAGCCTGTGAAACGATGGTGGAGTGACCTCCACTCCAGTTACCGTTGGGAGACTGACGGTCATCTTGGCTGCAGTGCCCGCCAAGGAGGCGGTCTCTGGATTTTATTTTTGTGTATGAAGAGTTGCTGGTCATTTCACTGTCCCGCTGCGCCAAACTCTGAGCAGTGTGAATAACAATAACCTCCGAGGAGGAGGAGAGGGTGGCGTTGGGGATGATGCTGGGGGAGGAGGTCCCATGAGGGGACACCACACATGCTGGGCTTGTTCTGTTCTCGCTCTCCAAGTGCCTCAGCTCCTGGGACGGGGGCCTCAGAAGTGTTCCAGCCCTTGCGGGATCTCGCATCTGTCCGAAGTTTTCACCTGCTTGTGGGTTAGCCCTCTGGTGGGGGAACATGCCGTCCAGGTCTTCTGCAGAGCCTTGGGCACCCAGCCGGGGATCCAGGGACTGAAAGCTGGCCCTCGCTGCGGAACGTGGAAGACTGTGGAAACCGGCATCACTGTGGAGGCGGGAAGGGAACACAATGCCCGCAGAATCACTCAGCACAGACATGTTGCCAGCGGAGCCTGAGAGGTGACCCATCTGGGCAGCAATGCCCTGCCCCTTCTGGGCTCTGATTCTTCTCATGGAAGGTGGTACGACTTTCACCTCCTCCGTCTGACAGCTGGAGTCCCTGGTCTCAGAGCGCGGCCCGGCAGACCGGTAGCTGCCAAGCCTTCCTAGTGTCGAGCAGTGGTCTGGAATGTACACTGAGTGACCACCAACATCATCTTGGCCAGTGCCCGATGCTGGAGACAAAGCAGAAAGAGGCTTGTTACCTAGAGAGTAGTACCTTAGTTCCTCACCTGTACCCTCACCTCCTCCTGACTCGGCCGTTCTTAAAAACAACCCAAACAAACAAAAACTTCTCTGTTGGGTCTAGTCTTTCTTCTCCTTTGGGCACCAAAGTGAGAGTTTAAATAGTTACCAATCGCTCCTAAAATAAAAACCCCTATTATGAATTTCACGCACTTAATTTGTACTTCACACCTTCCTCTAGATCAAGTGCTGCAGATGGATTTCTTAGGCAGCCACTTTGGGATCAAGCCTGAGAGCTCCGTGCAGAGTTTACTTTCAAAGTAACCTCCTTTCGGGAAAGGATTCAAGGCAGCCTGCCCCCCACCAGGAGCCTGCCCAGAGCATCTGCCGGCAGGGCCTGTCTTCCCCAAAGACAGATGAACATAGCCGTTCAACAACAAGGCTACAAACACACCCTTTCTGGAGGATATCGGTATAAAACAGTGTCAATCACATTAATTCCTATGTAGAAGAAAATCCTAGAAAATGATTTACAGGCCCATCTGTGTTTCAAACATTTCATGATCCATCTGAAGCCATGATCATCTGTCTGTCAGTGACATTCAAAATTCAACAGCAATCTGTTGTGTTCTGGTAGGAAAAGCAGCAGCAACGGATCCAGTGAACGTCTCCTCAAATTAGGGTGATTCACGTCTTGGAGCTTTACCACTAAACCGAGAGGAGTACGTTTAAAAAAGAAAAAGCGCAAGGAAGAACAAACGGACAGGGAACTGGATGAGAAAACACCTTAAGTGTAGATCACAGATTTCAAGTTACCTAGGAAAGGATAGAAGCTTAAAAAAAAAAAATCATGCAAAGTAATCATTAGGACAAATTAAGTCTTGAAAATTAGTAGCAAAACCATAGTTCTCTCCACATTGTTCTCGTCCAACAAGGACCTGAACACAGCTCAAGCGTGGGTACGGCTGAGCGGTGCTGGCTGGGCAGCCGCTAGGATCACCGCTCACCGGCAGGGCACTGGTGCTGGGACCCTGGAGCACTCCTCCCACACCCCACATGAGTCTCCACCAGCCACAAGGAGATGTCACCCTGTGGAGGAAGGCGCCCCAGCATAAAGCCCTTCCCTTCACCGTGACGAGGGAGAATCACTTCTGTACTCGTACCTTTACCCAGCAGGACCTATTTCCTTCCCCTTCCCCTCTGCCAAGTACTCACTCACTAAAGACACGCACACGCACACGCACGCACACATGCACACGCACACATATACTCGTGAAGTTCTCCCCCAGAAAGAGTAGAAGTGGGTAAAAGGGCAGCAGAAGGAAACTGCACTTTGAAGAAAGAAAAACACAAGGTCCATGTTTTGCCATTAGGACAGTTCAGAAGACGGGAGACGGACTTGTATGGCTGTATCAGTTTGCACCAGTTTGATTCCAGTCAACATACCTTATTCCACTCAACAGTGGGTTTTAGCATCTTTTTCTTTCAAAATTGTTGTGGTTTTATAAGGGGTCAATGAGATAGATTTTTAAATGTCTCTAAGGGCTGCAGACAATGTCCTGATTCTTTCAGGTAACAATTTTGAACGTGAAGCCATTCTAGGCTTCTGAAAACAGGAATATAGCCATTTCTTCACTATCTACAGACCAGTACAACTTTTCTTATTAAAATGACAATATTTTTCTAAAGACCTTTAAAAATGGAAGAACTTATATATCATTTAGCACAGGGACCACAAAAATTCGAATCCCAAAACTGATCCTTCAATATTTTCACAGTATAAAAGGTGTCACAATATTAACAGATAAAGATGCTACATTGATTAGAATTAAAAAACAAAAAGCAGACTACAAAAAGAGAACTATAAACAACTATAAACCATTCAGATGCTGCTAAAAATCTTGATGGGATCTATCTGATTTTAAAATATAATGTAAAGAAATAACTATGCACATTTTTCTTTTACTTAAATTATGTTATACTACAAGGGATTTTCAAGTTTTAAAGAACACATGGAATCAAACATAGAAATCTACAAAGTTAGTTTATTTAAGATTTAAACAGGATTTTTAAAAAAGTCTTCTTAGAACCTGTAACTAATATATTATTGTATATCAACTATAATTGAAAAATAAATTTTAAAAAGTCTTGGTAGGCCATGGCTGCTGTGGCTTGGTTGGTTGAGCATCATCTCGTGCACCAAAAGGTCACCGGTTTGATTCCGGTTAGGGCACATACCCAGGTTGCTGTTCAATCCCTGGAAAAGGGAGTGCAGGAGGCAGCTGATCATTGATGTTTCTCTCTCTCTCTCCCTCTCCCTTCCTCTCTCTCTAAAATCAATAAAAACATTTATAAAAAATGTTTGGTAGGTCTTTAATAATGTTTTTAATACAAATTATCAAAATCGTTCAAAAGGGATTCCTTTAAATGAGGCCTTTTCTGCTTGGGAAAAACATGTTGGAATAAATTCCAAAAGTAGCCAAATATAATTACTTGCCCACAAAATAATCCTATCTGATTCTAAAATACTGTCACCTCAAAACAGGCTGCTCAGATATATCTCTATGTATGTTTAAGACAACAAGATTAAAGAAAAAGTTAAAATTTTGTCTGATTAATTTAAATGGAAGTCAAATTATAAGTCATCAAATATACTTGGGAAATAAACAGAAAGTATCATAACCTTGATTTTAAAACATCATATATTAGCTAGTCTCTAGAGTCCACTATTTACAGATTTTGAAGTAAAAGCTGCATATAATTAAGCATAATATAACTCTAATACTGGAGACACCTCTGGTTAGATTTTTTTAAATCCACAGCCCTGGCAACCTGGCCAGTGTTTAGTGGACAGGGCAGATCTAGTAAATTTTTCCTTCTGATAATCATTTCTTTTTAAAATCTGATTTATTTGACTCAGCCATACTACCCTATGCTTTATATCTAGAGAAGGTTTCTTTTTGCAGAAAATACGAAGTATCTAATTTTTGTACTCAATAGTTAGGTAGCACAAGGTTTCCAAATTAGATGCCTTATAAGCACAAAATACTGGGGAAAAGGTCAAGGTCAACCAGAAGTCCTAGAATGAATGAAGAAAAAATATGATTCTTTTTCCCCTAAATTTTATTGTACTCATATGTTATTTTCCCTTCTTCTATCCACCAATCCTTCTAACAAGTCTATCTATAAAACTAAGTCATTGTCTAATTGTCCCTTTTTTAACTAGCTCTAACTTAGACACACCTGTCTCAGTTGACCTCCTGCTGTGATCCAGGTCATGTCATTGTGCAGTGACAACTGTCTCACATCTGGCAACAGCCACAACATAGATGACATGGGGAAAGCTATTTTCTTCCCTCCAGTCTTAGCAGTGGTTCCACATCACATGCAAAGGAGAAATACGTGTGAGCTCCAGGGGCTCAAACATTCATTTGAAAAATATTAAAATTGCAGAAGAGATGATTCACCAAGTTGGCCAGATCATTCCAGTAGGTCAAAAGGCAGCTGAATGATTGGCTCCATACTGGTTGGCTCAGTAATAAATAGCAAACATTCATCATGCTGAGATTCTAGAATTCATATTACATTCGTATATATATAATTTATATTGAATACCTATGTGTATGAGCACCTTTATCTGGGCCAAACTATTCTTATATTCTTTGCACAAAGCCATCCAAAACCTATTTTGATTGGCAAGCCAATTAAAATGTAGCCTACCCTTGAAACATCAACCTCGTTATCTTACAAAGGGCCTATCTTTACAATCACTCCTTCTGGTGAAGGCACATCTCCTCAAAAAAAAAATCAGTTCAAATACAAATGTTACCTGAGTGCTGTACAAGATTAGCCCATTAAGCATTTACTGAACATACATGCACGTATCAGTTTCTCAAATTAGTTAGCTGTCATCCAAAGGAATAAAAAGGGTCTGAAAGAATGGAATGCAGGAGGACCAGCCCACTAAAAATAGCAGCATGTGGGGGCATGAAACAAAGACAGACTTCACCAATCCGGTGGGTGTAACCTTGCCTTTGTAATAAACCCCTATGTTATGGGAAGACGGGCGCCTATACGTCATCGGGGTCACTGGAGCTGCCTAGAGCAGAAGCAACGCATTGCTATTCTTGTCCACTGCGACAGTCTGGAAGGCAGAGCGTTTGCACTGTAGAGTCAAATGGCAGTAAAGGAGGAAATGCTAAGTAAAGAGGAGTGAGCAGAGGTGCTGGGAAAAAACACATAGGAACAATGTCTGTAACACCTGGAAGCTGAAATGCTACCTCAAAGTGCTACAATAGGCTTATCACTACTGCTGGGATAAACTCACTTTAACTAAAAGACTAACAGGCAAGTTCAGAAATCAGAATTCTGGGTTTCTAGGGTATAACCTTTAATAGTAAATAAAAGTAAAAACATCAAGTGAAAGTAACTGTAATGAAATAAGTCCACAGGTTGGCTGAAAAGAAAGACAAATTTCAAGAAAGGTAGTATTAAGTTCCCTACAATAATTACAATAGCAGCTAGTATGTTCATAGTAGTATCAGAAACTGGGTGATACTGTATCGATCCATTAAATCCAAACGACCCTCCCTTGAATGAGGAAGTAGACTCAGAGAGGTGACGTTACCACTGGAGGTCACCCAGAGAGTTAGTGGCAGAGCTAGGATCCAAAACCAAGCAGCTTGGCCCCAGAGTCCCTGGTCCTGGCCCAGGTTGCTCTGCTACCTCTGCAGACATTCCTGATGGGCCCATTGAAAACCAGAGAGAGGAGGTGAACATAAAGAGGAGAATGAAGAGATTATGCACAGTACATATGAAGATAAGCAGAAAACAAATGGAAAAGTAAATAATGAAGCAAACAGCCTTCTCAACTAGCCAACATTTTTGTTTGTTTGTTTATCACAGGTTGAAAAATACTGACTCAAAAGCTATCAAGTTGTGTCACGGGAAGTACATAAATGCACTAGCCAACATAACTGACTATTTTCTATCATGCTGCTAATTATCCCACACTGCTGCCTTTGATGACAAATGCCACCAATATTGGCAGTATAACTAATGAAGTTCATATTCGTAACTTGAAGTCCTGGACAGAATGAGTTTTCAGGTTTATGAAAACGTAAAATCTAAATGACAAGTAAATCTAATTGTGGAAATTCCCCACTGTTCAAACTAATAGAGATGATGACATCACTGTGAATTTCTATCATCCCAGTTAATCGTTTTCATATCAATTTCTCCTCTTACCTTCTCACCAAAATGCAATACATCATCTGCAAGGGGTGTTACGATTTGTACCAGTGCCTCATTCAGAAAAGAAGCTGGCCCTTTGGGGCACCAAATGGCTATCAGAATGTATTGATTTCACAAGCACCACAGATGAGGTTAGCATAGGGATGCTGAGCGGCAATGAGGGGCAACAGAATACAGTTCTGATGAGCCATACCTAGCTCCTTCTGTATGTTGTCAGGGACTCCTGAAATAGTCTTTCTCCTTTTGACTTTCTTCGGTCGTCTTACCAGAGTGTCTGTGTAAATTAGAGACCGCCGAAGGCTGGCCTGACGATCGAAATTCTCCCCTAATGGAGAGTAGTAGAACAAGCAAAGCAATGTTATTTTCAAGCAAGCTGACACCATGCACTTTCTTCCAGAAGCTTGTTGTCAAATGATAAGAAGGTATTAATAATGATGTTAGCCAGTCATATGATGATGAATGAATGCTGAAGGGCAAAAAAGAAGGAGAGCACATTATCATCATAAGGCTGTGTTCCACTTTCTACGCCTGTGTCCTTCCAAAGGAAGCACCTGGATCTCATTTTCAAATCAGCTGGAGTGGAAAATGCAAATTTGTTAACAACACGCCAGAAGAGTGAGTCTGCATGATTTTTAAAATGAGTCATTTTGGAAGTGTTTCGCGTGGGCCGTCTGGTCCCTGACATCCACTCTTTCCATCAGCGTGTACGTGATGACAGCAATAAATACATCTTAATCATCTAGTCAGGTCCAGAGACCATCACAATGCCTTATCCTATGTGAGGCAACAAATCACTGAGTCAATAATTCTTAGATGAAGGGCTTTTTCTTCCAGTCGAGGAGGCCGACAATTGGGATGGACCGTGGAAACTGCTGTGGTGTGAGATACAACGATAATGAAAAATACAAGCCTTATAATGATAAAGTACTTTTGTCACAACGAGACCCAGCAGCACTGCTGTTGACATGTCGGGCAACGCTGCAATCAAACCCAAATGGCAGACCCACAGGACTTCTTGTCCTTCTCAAGTGCAAGCTTGTGTGACCGACACACAATGGGAAAAACATTCAACGATAAAGTATCACTTTTTGATTGGTCCGCTTTAAATTGCTTGCCAGTTTAATTACAGAAAGTTTTATAACACTGACCTTGCCAAATGGTTTTCTCTTCAAAGAGAGATTTAAAAAATACACGTACACGTACAAATTATATACTTCAGTCAGTCTTATATTGCAAGAAAAGTATAAAAACAAACATTCACTCTTTGTAGCAATATTGACACACATTCAAAGTAGGTATGTTGTAAACAATGTACTTTCTATTTTAATAGGAATAAGATGTAAATAGAACCTTATCTAATCAAAACAGAGTATAAAAGATCTGAATGATGAAAATACATTTCATCGACTAAGGAACTAACTTCAATACATGCTCACAAACTTGGAAATGCTTGCAACTTTGTTCCTAATGGAAGGAAACAGAAGAAATGATTGAGAAGAGACCCTGAAACGCCAGAAGGTACTGTCACTGCAATACATGGCTCACTATGCGCAACAGCATATATGGTGTTTGTAAGTGGCAAGGAATGCCTTCAATGGTCCAGCAGAGAAAAAAAATGTCCTTGTATCAAGGCATTAAGAATGGATAAAACATAAATAGTTGCATTTAGTGTTCAGTTTTGCGTCTTAAACAAAAAAAAAGATAAACCATTCAAGTTCCAAGGATATTAAGACACAAATCATGAGGATGGAATTAAAGGTGCCAAACTCTCTATCTTGTACTGTCACCTAAAAGGACTGTGTGCCCTGCTGGACTATACATTTCTTGAGGGTAGGACTGTGGTTCATGTACCTTAGCGCCCCCTGGAGCATTCAGCTCAATGCCTCACACACAGTAGTCAGTCAGTAAATCTGTTGAATTGAGAGGCATTGACTCATTCTCCTTCATTGAAAAATGGTCTTCGTCAGTCATGGGTACTACTTAGAAAGAAATTTTGCTGGCTCAAATGTCAATACAAAGCCAGTCTGCAAAAGTGTTAAGTGTGCTACCCACTCTCATCTTCTAGGTGGAAGAGCTGTTGTCTCACGTGACGGATTATGGAACATGCACATATATACATTTTAATTTCAACATTTCTCTTCAACGTTCAGAACATGCTGAGTCCCCACAGAACTATGACTAAAGGGGTTGAGTCGATTTTCAAGCTTACTGTGCCCATGTTCTACCACTCTGCCTGGCGGCTTCACTTCGGATTTGAAATAATATATTTGTCGGTGCTTCCCCCCAGCTGAACCGTACTGAAAAACAGGACGGTCAGTGTTTACCCAAATTAATGAGCACATGACAATTCCCCAGGGAAGCAACATTTTCATCTCAAAAGTTGTCTGGGGCTTTAGAAAGTGTCAGTTAAATAGCAGGACGCTATCTAATCTATGTCAATTCAACCACTAAAAATAAAAATTTTTAATGCAATCCTTTTTTTTATACCAGAATCTTTGAAAAACTACTCCCTTTATGAAATATATATGTATGTGTGTGAACACATGTATCCAGAAAATATGTAATTAGGTATTATATTTAATTTCTACATTTCTAAAAACATTAATCAATTAAAAGTAAACTGTGCTTTGATATAATTCGTACTGTTTATTTCTTTATTGTTGTTTACCTTTCCTGTGTGGCATTTTGAAGTCCTCTTTTTAAACTTTATGTAATTCGTATCCACTTACTCATCAAACAGGATAAAATTAAAACCAAGTTAAGGACACTGTCTGCTATTATGACAATGTATTTCATTGTAAATAATTTGTTACTCCTAAAATTCTAGTTACTCTGTTTTAAATTTCCTAATCTCATGATAATGCATCTTATCCTAATTTCATTAAGGACAGTCATATTTCATAGCACAATATTTTTATAATATTATTCCTGAGGCATTCAATCATGTATAATTACATTTCTGCTGCATTTAATCAATCACCTAATGTAATGCATTTTCTTAAAGAAAATGTGCACCTATGTATTTCATTGAGCGATAAATATTATAGATTGTTCTGAAACATAGCAACTTATAAAAATAATCTTTAAATATATGATCTAGGTGAACAAGAACCACGTCAGAAAGATCAACGATGTTATCTGCAAAGCAAATGGATTAAAATGCCATGACATTCCTCCTTTAAGGCTTATGAACAATAAATGTGGAAAAATGCACATGGAATTTAAAATAATTCATGCACTTACTTATTCAGTTTCTCTGGAATTCAAAATAGAGTTCTAAATGCAATTTTTAAATAACCTATAAGGTTTTTAAAAATTCTCCAATAACTGCCCGGAAAGTGTGGCTGAGTAGCTGAGCATCAACCCACGCACCCAGAGGTCGCTGGTTTAATTCCCTATCAAGGCACATGCCCAGGTTGTGGGCCCGATCCCCAGTGGGGGGCATGCAGGAGGTGGCCAATCGATGTTCTCTTACATCGATGTTTCTATCTCTGTCTCCCTCTCCCTTCCTCTCTCTTCTAAAATCAATAATGAAAAAAAAAAAATTAAACAATATCTGTTAAAAAAAATTCTCCAATAACTACCAAAATGTTATCAGTCCCTTACAAGTTAACCAATGCCATGGCAAAAGCTTTCTAATGGCAATCAGCAGCAGTGTCTGAAGCACAGCTAGCGTGCTACGGGTCTGCACCCTAATCCTCAGTGAAAACTCGTCCTTACTGGTCACCTGATTTCTTCAGATTCTAGCCCCACAGATGATGATCAGTAATCTATTTCTTTTGAACACACAGTCCCATGGCTGAAGCTATTAACTCTTACCACATCTATTTTACACTGTATACCTGCCCCAAACCACGGACCTGTCCTGTATGCAGGCTACTAAAGTGATAAAACAGGAAAAGTTTGGTATGTTTTTAACAGTTCACATAAGTTTGTGAAACTGACTTTGAGCTTCATGTACCTTGTTATCTGTCACCTTTAATTATCACAGGTGATTATAACTTGAGTATAATATGCTAAAAGAACTTGAAATTCACATGTGGCAACAAATATTCATACTCTAAAATATTATATTCAGAAGAAATAAACTTTTATTTTAAGATTGTGGAATTCAAATTATAGAGATCAAAATATAACTACCATCCTATTGAGTTTTCTAATATTTTTCTTTATTGATTTTTAGAGGGAGAGATAGAAATATTGAAAAGAAAGAACATCAATTGAGTGCCTCCTGCATGCCCCCCATTGGGGATGGGTCCTACAACCTGGGTATGTGCCCTGACTGGAAATTGAACCGGCGACCTCTTGGTGCATGGGTCGACACTCAACCACTGAGCCAGACCAGCTGGGCCTATTGAGTTATCTTTAAAAAATATGTTTTCTAGTTATTATTGTCAATTCACTCGATATTTTTATTTCAAGTAATTCTTCCTTTTTTTTTACCTGAGAAAACAAAAAGGTAAAACCTATTATTAAGAATCATCACAAAATTATTTTACTTTTATAAATATTACTTAAAAGAACTCTTTAGAAGACAAACATAATTTTTTCTCATCTAAGATCACATTTAGACATGCCCATATAATCAAAATATTTTTAAAAAGTAAATCAACGTAAAAAGACACACTTTAAATGAAGGGCTGGACCACTGAGTTCTTTGACATCAACCTTTGGTGATGCGGTCTTCTCATTTAAAAGCAATAGCTATTTTACACGGACACACGTATCTATGTTTCAATATTCGCTTCATTAAACGGAGATCAGGAATCCAGACCACAGCTCTTACCTCTGATGTATAAATGCAATGCTAGGAGCACACACAACAACAACAACAAGCCCCAGTCATCCCTCCAGTACACGCTGCACCTTGTCTGCACAGAGAAGCGTACCGGTGATGTTAATAGGAACCACATCCGCCTGGACCGTCTGGGCTTGCTGCCGCATCTTCTCCTCGGGTGTCGGCAAGGGAAGTGACTTGGCCCAGTTCGTTTGAGTATTAAGGTCATGGAAGTCACCTGAGGTCGGCGTTTTAGGTCTCCTGATGGAAATAAGTCTTTCCTCTTCCGACGAAGAGATGGAACACTGCGGGGGGATAAGAAGAGGACGCCATCGTGTGTAAAGAGCTGACGGAAACATTTCTTCTCTTTTTAATTTAAACTGAGCTGAAGCAAACCCCCTCCCTTCCAAAAAAAGAGCAACAACAACAACAAACTGGTTACATTTAGGAACAGAAGCAATGATTTGCAAGGAAACTGCTCACCAACCTGAGCATGACCCATAATACTGATTCGCAGAGGCCCGAGAGTCTGGACCATGACTGCAAAAGGTTTTGCTGACCCACAGAACCTTAAGCTCTTCCCGTTTACTGTGGTCGGAAAGCTTATGGATTTAGTTTAACATCAGAAGCCCAGAGACACATCGCGGCTCTGACCATCAGTTCCCATTTTTATTAAAATTTAGTTTAGCTCAAAATAACTTCTAGCCTCATCTCATTTCCTTTAGGCTCTGACCTCAAGGAACATCTCAAAAATGATAGAGCTATTGTTGTTCAACTCTTTGTGTCCTTCGAAGCCATTTATATGGAAAAATATCAGTGTGAAATTGTTAAATTATGAGAAGCTGACTACAAGCTCCGCTCTGAGCCTTATCGGAATTCCATGGGAACATTTCTAGCAGTGTCTGTGTTGATACAGATTAACATCCTGACTGGGGACTTTGTCGAGTACCTTTCCTCCTGTAACATCCTAAAAAGTGTGAGCAAGAAGGTGGTTTTGGCCCTGGCCAGTTTGGCTCAGCGGTTAGAGCGTCCGCCTGCGGTCCAGAGAGACCCGGGTTCGGTTCCCGCTAAGGGCACGTACCTCGGTTGCAGTTTGTCCCCGGCCCTGGTTGGCCGTGCGGGTGGCAGCCACTCGATGTGTCCCTTTCACATCGATGTTTCCCTCTCTCTCCCTCCCACTCTGTCTGTACAAAAGATGGAAAAATGTCCTCGGATGAGGATAAAAAAAAAAAAAAAGAAGAAGGTGGTTTTGGCTAGCACCTCGAGGGCTCTGCGGCAGCCAGGAACTCAAAGCAAATGTCCCGTGCTCAGGAACAAGAAAGGGTCACTGACTGTTGTTGGGAAATGAGTTTACAATTGGAATAAATTCAAAGAACGGTTCTTCGAGCCGAAAGCCTTTAAACTTTCACCTATGAAAATAAGCATTTAAAAGAGTTTTACTTAAGAATAAACATCACTGAACCTTCCCAAGGTCAACTCAACACCCCCCCACACACCCCAAAACAAGTGTAACTACTGTCCTGACTTCTCACATCACAGCTTTGTTTGCCCGTATTGGAACTTTCTGTAAAGGGAATTATAACTCAGGTCTCTCCTGTGACTGCTTTCACTCCACATTACATTTGTCAGGATTTTAACAAGCACATGTTGATGCCTCTTGGGATTTAATGCAAGTTTCTAAGAGGACATCGGTAAGACATCTAAGAAAACCCATCAGTTAGGAATCTCAAACTCTCAGAAGAACACTGTCATTGCTACTTACTGCTAATGAATTAATCTTCCTGCAAAACATCTGAATTTATTCTACAAGTACCGAACTCCTCGAATCTGAAAAAGGGTACACAGAGCAGATGAAAATGGTTTGGTTTTAGGGATAGGGACCAAAAATCCAAAGACCTGAGTCAATCCACTTTATACCTCATAGTCAAGTGACTTTGACGCTGTTCCCAAACGTCGAGGTCCTGTGCTGTAAAATGGGAGTATCCTGCCTACCTTTCATATCCCACTAGGGGTACTCTTAGGACCTTGCAAGACGGCAGTTAAATATCATGGACATAATGGTGGTGGTCATATAAATGAGACTTTATAAAAACAAAATAATAAATTGACAAGTATCCACTTTTTTCTTTTATTGCAGAGACTATCAATAATAAAGGCATTGTAGAAGTAAAAATAGAAAAAAATTATATAACTAGACATCTCAGTATTTTTTACTTTATATTCTTAATGCATAAAACATGTAAAATAATAATCTAGTTTCTTTTTCACCAAAGGAAACTATAAAATGTCTGTAATTAAATGAGAAACATACTCAGTTTGAGTATATGTTCCTGACATCTTAATCATGATACTAAATCATGCCTTATCCATTCATGTTTGATCTGACACTGGTTACAACTCCCACAGATCCTTGAAATACAAAGGGATTTTTGAGTCAGCCACAGTAGCTAAGCTAGGCTGGCATAAATCAATTATTTCTGCCATTTCTGCAGTTGTGACATTCTTGTTAAATTTGATTTATAATACATATCCTCTACTCTTACATTGCAGACACACACACACATAAATTAAAACTAATTTTATTTGAGAAACTCATGACAATTTGTGTAAAGGTCACACGTTTGAGGTTGAATCTTAATCTAGTAAATTAAAAGGTCGTTCCAATTTTCTGATATATTTACATAGAAATAATTTTTCAGGCAACCTTGAAATATAACACAGACTTCGAAGGCCTTAAGAAACAAATCCTAACCAAAAAGGATGGAAAGAAAGTGAAGCTTCAGCTGGCCAGAGGATCTACAGCGCGGTGACATCCTGCAGAGAGGGTTCCGCTTCCCTGTGACGTCTGCCGAGGGACACGGAGGAGCTCCGTTCGGTGGTTTGCCTGCGTCTCAGTGGTGCTCATCAGCCCTAGTAACCTACTTTTCTTTCATTTGTCAGAATTGATAACTATCACAGTGAGACAGTACTTCAGTTAGCCTCGTTGCCACGGGACAATCACCAGGGACAGCTCCAGGGTGACAACTGACAAAGATCATCTGTTTTATAAAGTGCTCCCCCTTCATTTGCAAGAAAATTTCTCAGACAAGCAGGGCACAGACTAAGTTGTATGCAAAGGGACTGCTATATAGTCCTACAATCTACCAAGGAAAATTTAAAAACCAGGATGGTATGACTTCCAAAATGCCCTGACTCCCAACCCTCCTAGTATCGAGGTAACCCTGCATCTCAATGGCAGAACACATCATAATTACACCATTAAGGTAGACACTGTAACGCTCTGGACTATTACATTAGCCTCTTAACTGGCCTCTGTGCTTCTGCCCTTGTTGACTACCCTCCCTTACTTCTCTCCCTCCAACGGTGTATTTCCCAACACAGCAGACAGAGAGGTCCTTTTAAAATGTAAGTAGTCAGTCAAGGAGGGACCTGGAAAGTATTATCCTAAGCGAAACAAGCCAAACAGAGAAAGACAAGTATCATATGATCTCACTTATTTGTGGAATATAATGAACCTAACAGTCTGAGGAATGGGGTCGTCCCAGAGACGTGGAAATGGGGTACAGACTGACAATCCCCAGAAGAGGGGGTGGGGGGGATAAACCACAGAACTTATATGCATGTGTGCATGACCAATGGACATGGACAACAAAGCTGGGGACAGGGCAGGGAGGGGACGGGAGGGGCTCAGTGGGGGGAAAAGGAGAAACATCTGTAACAAAAATAAATAAATAAATAAATAAATAAATAAATAAATAAATAAATAAAATGTAAGTCAGATCGTGTTGTTCCTCTTCTTAAACCCTCCAACATTTTTATTATGACCTACAAAACCCTACATTATCTACAAACTGGCCACTGCTCACGATGACCTCATCTCCAACTATTCTATCCCTTGTTTATTCTACCCTGGTCACACCATTTTCCACGAAGTTCCTTGTACATGTCTTGTACACTACTGCCTCAGGGCCTTTGCATCTGCTGCTCCCACCAGCTGAAATGTTCTTTCCTCAGACATCCACACAAGTAGAACCTTCTTATTCTTCAAGTCCTTAGTTTAGTCAAGCGTCCCCTTACTGTTGAGGTCCTAGCTGTTCCCACTACCTAAAATTTAACTCCTTCCCAAGATTTTATATCCCTTTTTTCTGCTTTCCTTTTTTCTCTTTAGTACCTATCACCAGTACACACATATTTTCATTATTTATCTTGTTTGTCTCTCCTGTGAAAATGTAAGTTCCAGGAGGTTTTAAATCAGAATTGCACAGAGAGCTACTTCAGAATTTTAGAAATGTTGAAAAAAGAAAGAAAGAAAAAAAGAATTTTAGCTAAAAAGGGATCACCATTTCGTAACTGACTTCCACATGCCTTTCCCTGGCCTGCAGGCTTCAAAGGAACTGGTACCTCATTTACTGTCATACCATCAGCTTTGTTTTACAAAGGAGGAAATGGACTAAAATAACTTTACTTTTGGAAAGTTCACAAGTGGGCAACTGGAATCAGAACCCAGACCTGACTCCAAAGTCTCTCTGTTAAACAGTGTAGAATTACAACTTGGCAATATTTGCAATAAACTAGATTTTCTGATTATATATATATATATATATATATATATATATATCCATTTACATCTCTAAATAAGCACAAATAAACTACCTGAAACTAATATAATAGTGTATGTCAACTCTAATTGAAAAATAAAAAATTATTTAAGGTAAAAAACAAACAAAAAGAACAAAACCTGTTGAAAATCTGCAGAAGCCGGCAGTGTGGTCCAGTGGCTGGAACACTCTAATCTGGAGTAAGAACATGAAGGATCGGCATCCTGATTCTGTCTCTTACCAGCTGAAGGTTTTGAGCAACTCAAGCTCCCTGTGTTGGGAACAGAGTAACTGCAATAGCACAGTCATGCTTCACGTAAATGGAAACCCTCAGTACAGGGTGAACTCTTTTCTTAATCATTGAGTTTGAAATTGCCTTGCTTTCAGAACTTAAATGCAGTTTCTAAAGCACCTAACTGGTCAATAGTGTTCATCAACAGCCCCATACTCTGGTCCTGGAAGGAACGTAGAGTCACCAGTGAAACTTAAGAAGCCACAATTCCTTGTGTCAAATGACTTAATTTCGACAGGAGATCACCTGCCACACCAGCAGTTGTTTCGTAGATTCTAGATGCTGAAAGGCCTGCATTTCAGAGACTGCTAAGTCCTGTCTGGAAACCAGACCACCTCCCACCAGATGGACAGTGGAGCCTGAAATACAGTCTCTTTGGCAAATGGCCAAATTACCAAAAAGTAGGTTTAACTAT